ATAATAATAATACACATTTAGATGCAATAAGCTAGCTATAGTTCTAATGACAGAGATCACAAACCACAAATAAATGGGATAAAGCAAATGGGAGATTGAAAATCAATATTTTTTGCTATTTTGTATATTTATTTAAATACCAGAATATGTTTGCTCTCAAATCCAAATGCACTTTTAACATACTCAGGAGGTCGTGTGTCTGGTCCTAAATCTCGATGTAAAGAAATCCTGTCACTTGCAAAAGCATTAAAACAATGTTTTTCTTCCCCAAGGTCTTTCTCCTTCTGCTCTTCTGCATTTAAATTGACAGTTCTGAATGCTTTACCAAAAGCCCCAGGAGCATTAGGATCCTGAGGAGGTCGATCCAGGTGAGGCGTCAATTCTGCTGCTGTATAGGATCCTGGCAAGCAGCGCTTCTCTCCAGCATTTTGAGTTTGCCTAATAGGTGCTTTAATCTGCATTTTTGGCTTTGCTGCCTTAATATTGTTCACAGCTTTTAAGACTAGACCTAGAACATTAGTTATCTTCCCATCTTTTGATGGTATTCCTGGCTCATCATTAAAATCTGGAATACCTATTTCTCGTTGTAACAAAACCAAAAAGATTAAAAAGATTAAAAAAATGAAGGTAAACTTCCAAAGCTTCCATTGGGACAATTGTTTCATTATGAATCTCCTTAGCACTCTTATGTAAGCCATCGTGGAGAGTCCACATGTAGAAGTCCTTCAGGTAGAGTTATCTTTTCATCATGGAGGTAGTCAGAAATTGGCTAAAAGAGTAATACCTGCAATTGTTGGTAAAACAACTATGTTAATACATAAAATTACACACAAGTACATCTTAACGAATCACAATAATCATTGGACATGAAGCAAAATCAATATATGTGACAGTATTCTTACCAATTTTGTTCAAATTATCTCTCTATATTTACTAAAATATCTGAATCCTCTGAAAAACCTCACTGAATATATGACACATTTTCCTTTCCTTTCCTCTTCTTGCCTACCAGGCCACCTGGCCACCTTTGTTATACCTTCTTCTAGTTCCCCTAAGAGAAGCTTTCTCACAAAGAGGGAGAACTCTTACCACAGTTAATTGGACATATGACAATTCAGGCTTGACAATCCAACTTCTTTTGAGTGTTCAGTGTGTGCAACCACCTAGTTAGATTTTGTATAAAAATGGTTTTTTAAAGGGAGAGAGAAAGAGAAGAAACATACAAAGCCACCTGTGGGTATGTTAATCTAATTCAGATGCATAATATACAATACAGTGGGCCCTCGACTTACGAATGGCCCTAGTTGCGAACGTCGGGTAATGAACCTGATCTCATCTCAAGTAGCAGACCCTACTTGCGAGCGCAGATTGAGTTACGAACCAAAAAAGGCAGAGAGAAAGGGCGGGAAATTTGAATTTCCTGCCCTTCCTCCCTGCCTTTGGAGCTTTCAAAAGGTTTCCTCCGACATGGGAGGAAGCCCTTTGAAACCTCCGAAGCCAAAAAAGCAGGGAGAAAGGGCGGGAAGTTCGAATTTCCTGCCCTTCCTCCCTGCCTTTGGAGCTTTCAAAAGGCTTCCTCCGATGTCGGGGAAAAGTCCTCTGAAACCTCTGAAGGCACCTCCCCAGGGAGGTCTCCAAGGGCTTGCACGCCACCACCCAAGGCTTGCACGCGGCCGGGGGCGAGTGGCCAAGCACCCGGCCAGCTCTAGCCTCCCGGCACTGGGTGAGCTTCGGTGGCTCCGAAGCCAAAAAGGCAGGGAGAAAGGACGGGGAGTTTGAACTTCCCACCATTTCTCCCTGCCTTTTTGGCTCCAGAGGTTTCAAACAGCTTACTTCGATGTCAGAGGAAGCCTTTTGAAAGCTCCAAAGGCAGGGAGGAAGGGCAGGAAATTCGAACTTCCCGCCCTTTCTCCTGCCTTTTTGGCTTCGGAGCCACCAAAGCTCTCCCAGTGCTGGGAGGCTAGAGCTGGCCGGGTGCTTGGCTGCTCGCTCCCGGCCATGTGGAGGCAGCGGAACACTGGCAGGCTTCGGACTGGTAAGTCCTTTAAAAAAACTTTTCTGTGGGGTTTTGGAGGGTGGGTTTGGACTGGGTGGTTATGTTTCTGTGGTTTTGTGTGTGTATGTGTGTGTGAGTTTTTGCAGTCCCAACGTGGGACTTGCTTTTTTTATTTTTGTATTTTTTAAAAAATGCTGGAATGGATTAATTCCGTTCCCATGCATTTCAATGGGAAATGGTACTTCGACTTACAAACTTTTCGAGGTACGAACATCCTTCCAGAACGGATTAAGTTCGTAAGTCGAGGGTCCACTGTAGTACAAAATAATGCATCTGTTGGTGTATATTAAAGTAAGAAATCTAGGGCTGGGGGGGAGGGCCACCTTGCCCTATCCTGCAGACAGTGATATTTCTTGCTACCATTCACCATGATAGCATTTCGTGTTTTCCAAACAGAAATATATTTACCAACATATCACTCTCTCATATTGTTTTTGTATGATCACATGAGTAGGTTTGAGAATACCAAAAAGCAGAAATTCACAAACTTCTGAAGACGTGGAGTTGTACCCATTATCACAGAAAATAATGTCCTGCATATGGTCACAAATATCATCAGTACTGAAAACACTTCCTAAATTATGGATATTACTTGTTTACCAATTGTAGCTCTCCTGACAGAAGCCTTAATCAACACTGAATGGGACTCGACTTAAGTGGTGGTGTCGACTTATGAACATCCCAACATAAGTGGTGTCTCGACTTATGAATGTCCCAACATACGATTTCGAGTTACGAAATTTTGCTTCTACTTGCGACCGGAGGTTCGAGTTACAACCAGAAAAAGGCAGAGGAAAAAGGCAAGGAATTCAAATTGCTAACCGTTGGTGGAGAAGAGGCTGTTTCTTTGTAGCTCTTTCACCCCAGCACTTGTTAAGAGAATGTGCAATCAAGGCAAGGCTTCGCCTGGTAAGGTAAGGTGGTGCTTTCTGCTTTATAAAAACTGTTCTGGGTGGGTTTGGGGCTGGGTGGTGGGTTTATGTTTCTATGCTGTGATGACTCTTGCAGGGTTTGTTTTTTTGGTTTTACCCCCCATTTCCAATGGGTCTTGCAGGGTTTATTTGTTTTTTGGGTTCCACCCCCCCATTTCCGATGGGTCTTGCAGGGTTTGTTTTTTGGGTCCCCCCCATTTCCAATGGGTCTTGCAGGGTTTGTTGCTTTTTGCTTTGCTTTTTTTGCATTTCCAAAGGTTCTTGCACAGTTTGTTTGCCCACCCCCCCAGCCAGAACAGATTAATCGTGTTTCCGATGGGTCCTGCAGTGGTTTTTTTGGTGATTTTTTCCCCTTCGGTCAGAATAGATTAATTGCATTTCAATGCATTCTTATGGGAAATGGTGCTTCGACTTACAACCATTTCGAGTTACGACTGGAGTTCCAGAACAATTAAGTTCATAAGTCGAGGCACCACTACCACCCCCTCAGCCAGAACAGATTAATCGCGTTTCCGATGGGTCCTGCAGTGGTTTTTTTGGTGATTTTTTTCCCTTCGGTCAGAATAGATTAATTGCATTTCAATGCATTCTTATGGGAAATGGTGCTTCGACTTACAACCATTTCGAGTTACGACTGGAGTTCCAGAACAATTAAGTTCATAAGTCGAGGCACCACTATATATTGTTATTAATTATACAGTAATTTATATTTGACTTCTAGTTAAGAGTAACATTAGGTTGAAAGAAGATCAAGTATTACAAATTATATGATTTGTTCTTTCATATATTCTAACTACAGTGCTTATGTACTGATAAAGAGATACAAATATAATTGATAAGATCTTTGCATTTGTTAAGTTAATTGCCTTGACTCACAAGACACTTCAAGCCTTTGGAGATTTCTTGCCTTTGGAGAGGGAGACCAGGAGTGCAACTTTTTCCCCATAAGGGTCTCTGTAATTTGCACAAAGTGTTCCTGTGCTAAATGAATGTCTTTTCCCTTGAGAATCAAAAAACACAGGGACAAAGCAAGCACAGAATGACAAGGTGACGGTTCAGAAAGAGATATCCATCCATTTCTAATCCTTAAAAGTCCATGTAACAAAGCAGGAGCCACCATCATTTTGCACAAAAAGCATTCTCAGGTTCATTTTCTTCTTAAGAGTATCAAAAAAGTATGTTAGCCCATCATGGGGAAAATACAGCATTTTGGCTTACTCATGCTTGTGAGATGACAAGACAAGCAATGATAGACAACTCTAACAGACAGTATACCAATGGTACAAACCATAATAGCTGTAAACTGCTGGCTGAATTTATTTTTATCATACAAACACACCTTGATACCAACCAGTATCAAGGTATAGTAACCCATATTGTTAATGTTCTCATCTGGAATTTTTTTCTGTCAGAAACATGATTACCTCTCCTCAACTATTAAATCGCTCCAATATTTCACTCCTAAACATATTTCCTGTGGAGTTAGATCAGTTGAACTCAACAGACTTTAACAGGGCAATGCAGGGTGCATCGGTACTGTTCTCACCAGTCATTTCTAGGCACTTGCTTTGTAATTATGTAAACTTATACTGTACACACAGAGAATTAGGTACCAGCATCTGAATCCACTGCTACAGAAATTACAGCTTCTTTATATACCAGAGGTAGCTGATACTGCAGGTGGTATCTATCCACAGCTGAAAGCTCACCACCTCAATGGCCCAACTGACCAAGAACTGGCCTCTGTTGAGTCATGGAAATTAGGCACACCTTCCCCTCGTTGTGTCAACATCTGTCTGAAAACGGCCACCTTCCACATCACCCTTGGCAGCAGTTCCTGGAAGGACAACACGGAACCGACTCGCTGGTTGACACCTAAGGCACAGGCGCGCCTTCTCGGCCGCTCCCGTTTGAACGCGCCCCAAACCGCCCTTAACAGGGGGCACTGGGGGGGGGGGGCTCCAGAAGAAAACGACCAGGCTTTCCACACCTTCGTCTGCTTCTGGATGGGCTGAAGAGGCCGGCAGGTTGGCCTCCACTACGCCCAGCCCCAAATCTCGGCCAAGACGACGCGAGGGGCGAATAATTAATAAAGCCGAATAATTTGACAACCGTCCAGCCAGACCAACCCGCCCACGGCCACTTTTTTCTCCCCCCCCCAACGGCCACGGGAGTGGGGGGCACCCAAGGCACTCGGGTCGGGGTGGGGGTCTCAGCAGTCGGTGCCGGATCCAGTCAGGGACTCAGATTCTGGGGTCCCCTCAGGATGGAAAGAAGCGGACGGAGAGGGGGGGCACGAGGGGAATCTTCCTTCCACCCAAAGGCTCCCGACGCCCTCTTCGGAGGGGGGGGGCACAGGCCTCTCCGCCGCAGGAAACCGGTCCCTCCCTGGCCTTAACGCCTCACGGGCGAGGAGGACTGGACCCTCAGGACTCCGTTGTCCTCGCCCTCCGCCGCTGTCCCTTGGACGGAACGATAGTACTTCCTCGCTTCGCTTACCTGAGGGAGGATGAGCAGCAGGGTGTCGGCAAGGGGCAAGGGCGTGTGCTGAGGAGGAAAATGCACGCACACCAGCCGAGTGTGTGTGTGTACGTGTGCGTGAGTCAAAGGGGTACCTGGGGGTGGTGGTAGTGGCGGATCTCTTCGGCCCCCCCCCCCCCCGCCCGCCCCCGCTTTTCGCCTCACGGCCAGAAAGACCAGGCCACCGCTAATTCCCCGGCAGCCGTTGGCGGACACCGCCTCCCAGGTGAGCGGCAAAGGCAGGAGGGAGGAGGAGGACGCCGCCTGCCCACTCGCCCGCCTCCTTTCCGCGCCCGGGCTTTACCTGGGCAGCTCAGGTAGAGGCGGCGGCGGCGGCGCTCCTCCTTCCGTTCCACCAACGGAAGGCAACAGGCCCACGTGGCGGAGGGGGAGAGGGCAGGAAAGCGCGCGCCCGCCCGCCAGCCATCCCCCCCACTGCCCGGCTTTCCTTTCCTCCTCGCGCCCTCGCCGGGTCGGCTTGGCGGGGCGCTCGGGCATTCTTGAGTGACAGGAAGGAGGCGCCGCCGCCGCCGCCGCCGCCCTCGCCCTCCCCACTCCCCCACCCCTCTTTCTCCCCGGAGCGCTGTTGCCATGGCAACGTGGCGTTCTTGGAAAGGCCTGGGGAATCCGGCACGCCACCAGCGTAGAGGGTTAAGCGCCTTCTCTTACTTTGGCGGCGGCCTTCCGCGTCTCCTTGGCCAAGAAAGCCGGCGGGTGCTCGTGGTGGGGGTCGCCGTCGTCGTCTTCCAAGCCCTCGAGGCTTTTGGAGAGCCTCAGCCCCGGCGTGGGCTCGCGTGATTCGTGGGCTGCTCCTCCTCCTTCTTCGCTCCACAGTGAAGGAGGAAAGGATATGCCGCGACCCGGCTTTTTTGTTTGTTTCTTTGTTTGTTTTTGCTTGAAGACTCGGAGTCACAACTTTCAAGGGTGGGGCCGGGTGGGGTGTCGCCTCCTTTGGCGCCGGCTGCTTTCTTTAGAAAGAGCAGGTGGTTGCTAAAAATTCCTCCTGCTCGCTTTTCGACGAAGGCGGGCATTCGGACTGGCTCATCGTTCAGTGTTTTTGGTCTCCAGTGCAAAACCCACGGGACGTTTTGCACGGAGAACCTGCCCGTTGCGCCCCTTCGTCCTGCCAGGAAAAGGCCAGGACGAACGGTAGTCAACACAAATATTGTCTGTCCCGTGGCTTTCGAGAAACAGCTCCCAACTGGCAGGACGTCGCTTAGACGCTCCCTACCCCCCGATCTGCCGTTCAGGTATCGAAATATTGATATGATACCTGACTTTGGCTACGGGAGACATTTCGAAGAAGTGGCAGGAGATGCTGAGGTAATCCAGCACCTTAATATCCAGGTTGCAATCACCCTTAGATGAGCATTTTACTTGCAAAGACTGTGTCACAATTGCAAGGGAAATCATTCCGTTTTTTAAGAGTAAAGGTACAATCCTTTGTCCAGTTTGTTGGAAATGAATCTCAAGGTGCTTCATGGAATTTCCTTCTGAGCAGATTGTGTGAAAGATTGCTCTGGGTCAACACAGCACCAACATATGGGTATGAGAGGAACTGACCTGCATCTTCCCCTCAAATTTTGCTGGACAAATGTGCCGTATCTATTGCCATTTACCAACCAAAACCCCACACACCTCTTACATCTTTATAACAGCTGGAGTGTATCATTGCATTCCTTTTGCAGATGTATTTTAGGATTACCTTAAGCAATCAGCCATTCTTTGTTGAATTTAGTGCAAGTTTTAATATGCTAGTTTCTGCTCTTCCCTGCTTTTCTTCATTTGGGCAAGGCTCTCCACCCTTCTTTTTCTAACTTATCCACTGACTCAAATATAACTAGCGATTCTCTGTTTCTGATAGTTATTCTACAACCTAACCAGGCTGGCTGAGGATTAGAATGAGAGTCCACCCATCAGGAAAGCTTACTAAGCTTTGTCACGATCAAGACTGAAATAAATATGACAAATAATGACCAACTTAGTTCCTGGTACTTTCAAAGGGGATGTTACAGAGCACAATCCCATGCATATTTCCTCAGAAGGAAGACTATTGCTATGTATGTTGCACATAGGACTGGAGTCTTGGTCGTCATAACTATCTGGACCAAGACTATGATCTATATGAGCAGTTAGGAACCTGAGACAGAATTCCTACCTCTCAATTCCATCAGCACCAGTTAATGCAGCCAATGTCTGGGATAATGAGGGCTAAATCCACCAAGATTTGAAGCGTAATCTGTGCTATCCCCGCCAGTATATTTTAAACCAGTTCATGGATACCTCTGTTGCACTTAAATATATTATAGGTCTTAATTTTTAAGGACAGAATAGTCAGAAGCCCCTGATCTTGTCAGAACATACAATGATTTCTTAAAAAATAAAAAGAAGGTGGAAGACTAGACACATTGAACCCCATGCCCCTTTTGGGAAAGGTGGTTTAGGAAAGGAGATTTTTGAGAATCGAATTGCTCAAACTTTTCCCTGGCTTCATTTCACCCCAGATTACTCTTCCTTATTCTATTTTGTACTAGGAGGGGGGCACAGATGGCCAACCAGATGCTGCTATAGACTGCACTGCCCATCAGCCCCAGCCAACATATCCAGTGGTGAGCAAAGAGGAGTTTTGCAGTTCCACAACATCAGAAAGGCAGCGATTTGTCTACCCTTGCTTTCTACTACAATTTGCTAAGTCAATGCCACTGCTGCACCTGGCGTATTGTAGAACTGCAAAACTGGATGTGGTGGTGGTTATTTTCATCCTATTTCCAACACATATATTATTAATTTTTTAATGTAATTATTTCCTTGCTTAGTTGATGGCAAATTGAAACTGAAAATTTATCAGTGGAGTTTTATTTCATAAGCATGTCCCCACCCAACCTTAGAATTTTAAAAAAATTCTACACTTTGTTGCTGCTTTTTAAACAAAAATCATACACTGATACTGCATCCCAGTACTTGATCCTGTTAGATATGTCTGTTGTTACCCATTTTTCACAGATATCAAATCAATGGCAAAGTTCTCACTGATAAAGTGGCTCTGGAGTGCATAGCAAATACTATTTGATTATAACAAAATGTAACAATCTTATTTTTAAATCCTGTTTCTGGTTTCACTTTGTAAACTGCTATCTGATATTGTCAGGTATCTTTGTTGTTCTTGATTCATCGCTGAATGCCCTGATCAGATTTTCTGTTGAAAGTCTATACAAAGCTCAAGGGATTATATTTATCTTTCAGCTACTTAAGTGGGATTTGCATTTGTCTAGATTTGAAAGTTAGAGAACAGGTAGTTGTGGTTTGGTTCTTGCAGTTTGGATCAAAGATTTGTAGTTAAACCAAGACCCCCTGCTCCCTAAATACACAATTCACTGTTGAGCATCTTTCATGTTTCAAGCACCTTGTGCATTAAAAGACAGACAGATGGACCTGGAGAGAGAGGTATCACTACAGTACTCTATGTTGCTATAGCCTTGGGCAGCTGAACTCCCCAGTGCAAGTAAATAAGGCAACAGAAAATACAGTCTCCCTCCCCTCCCTCCTCCTTCAAAGGCAGAGGAGAAGGTTGCTAGGCAACACCATGCTGAATACTGGACTTCTTTTTCATTAACATAACTGAACTGACCTCTCTCCCTGGAGTCCTTTCAGTTCAAAGGCCATGTATTAGAAAAACAGGATAGCATCTAAAATGCATTTAAAATATAGTTAAAAACTCAAATGGAGTCTTTCCTTAACTGTAACAACAAAAGAACGCCACTGTTTTATTTTTAGCTCAGGGATAGCTTAAAATCACACATATAAACCCAAACAACAGGGTGGGCAGGTGGGAGGGGGGAATATCAATACAGTATCTCTCTGTGTCAGGATTAACTGCAACACAGAATCTTCCTCACAAGTTCTTTAGAGTGGCCACATATAAAAAAGACATGGCTCCTGCACTTTTGAGTACTGTAGTTTTGTAGGAAAAGGAATTGACATGTAGCACATGAGTTTTTCGTTTCTATACTACTACGAGGGGGTGCTGATAAGTATTGAGCCTTTCCCAGAAAAAAACTGAGCTAGGAAGCTGTAACTGCCACACTATTCTACATATCCCCCCGGGAAGTCAATGCACTTGCAACATCTGTCCTGCAGCTTCTTAAGTCCCTGCAAATAAAATTCTTCCGACTGCTGGTGTAACCACTCACAGCATTAGTTGCCTCCCGAACACTCCCAAATCGTTGTCCCTTTAGATGTTCTTTGAGTTTGGGGAACAGATAATAGTCAGAAGGAGCCGGGTTGGGAGAATAGGGTGGATGGAGCATCACTTGAAAGCCTAAGGACGTCAGTTTTGCCATTGTTTCACCTGCAGTGTGTGACAAGGCATTGTCATGAAACAGGATGGCATCTTTGGAGAGGATTCCTCAACATTTTCCCTTGATGTTTTGCCTCAGCTTCATCAATAAAGCACAGTAATATTTTGCATTGATGGTTGAACCTTGTTGGTGGTAGTCCATCAGCAGAACTCCTTTCTTATCCCAAAAAATGTTGCCATTTGCGTCTGCACCAACCTTTGCACCTGGAACTTCTTTGGCCTGGGGGCACCACTGTGCCTCCCATTCCTTAGACTGTTCCTTTGTCTTAGGATCATAACAGTAGGTCCATGTCTCATCACCAGTTAACAGTTTGCCCAGGAAATCTGACTCATTTCTTGAAAAATGTTCCAAAACAGCCACCGATGACCCCACACGTTTCCTCTTTTGTTCAGTTGTCAAAAGTTTGGGGATCCACT